TTTTTGTTTGAAAAATCTATTTTGCCCATCGCAAAGATACCCAAAACAACGAAAGGATCATATATCCCTTTCGAGGGAGAATAAATATGGGAGAAGTCGGTATAACCAACAATATTTCAACTTCATTTCTTTCTTTAAAACTTTAGTAATGAATTAATAGACTTGATACTTTTCCTATAACTTCTCAAAGATGGAGGAAATTCGGAAGTTAATGAAAGAGAACTTATATACATAATATCCTACAACAGTAGAACCATTTCAAAAACACTGTCGGATTACATTCAACATTTTGGATTGAACTTACATATGTAAAGTATCAGTTGATCTACTTTCTTACATGTCCTATTGCCAATTCATTGCTTAATCGTAAGCTCGGCCCTGAGATGGAGAATCCCATTGATGAAGTAAGGGCTGTCGTCGTCCATAAATGCAGACCATGGGACACTAAACAGGTTCCTGTAGCCAACCGCCTTTCCTCCGGTGAAGGTGTAGTTTCCTTTGTACTTGCTCACAAACTCCTCGGATGGTTTTGCTCTTGATGCAAACTCGTAGTCAACAGCAAATGCTACTGACCCCTTCTCTTGCATCCCTAAGAACAGCCCAAAACAATGGAAAGAACTCTGTTGGTCCATATTGCAATGGGCTGATAGGAAAAATCCTTGCCCGCCCAAGTGAAAAGCCTGCGAATAGACTCGACCAGCTGGGAAGAGTTGCGCGCACTCGCCCTGCGTCAGATCCAGATAAACAATGCACTGCAGACGAGGCGATTCAAATTCGACGACCTTGACTGGTCGATATTTGTATGCACGCTCCACAAAACGACGGGAGGAAGTGTTGGCCTCCTCTGCCACGAGAGAACGCTGTCGATATGGTGCTTCAGCCTTGAAAAAGAGAGCATCAAGCACAACCTTGGAGGCGATTTCAGGATCAAAGTCATTGCATCCCAAGACTTTCTTCAACTTTCTGCAACTCATGCATGGGAAACGGATAAAGCGAACGAGATGTGTGCTTAATATTTCTCGACGTTCCTCCAACTTTGAGTAATGCATTCGGGCCCACTTCAGCACAAAATCATAAACAGCATCCTCTGACGCTACCTGAAGATTGTCGCTGGACAAAACAGCAGTAATGCCAGCTAAAGGCAAGTTAAGTACCTCTTCTTGGAACCTGGTAAAGAAGAAAACAGTTTATAGCAGTCAAAATAATGGATTGCAAATTAAATGGCGAGTCAAATATAAATGCATAGAATTTTTCTAGAAATATGGGTGAAATAGTCTGTAATCCTTACTTGCTTATATCCTTGAAACGTGTGGCAAGGAACTTCTTGGCTGCATCTGTAAGTGGCTGAACCGTATCACCCATTGAAATGGTAGAAGGTAGATCCAAGTAGAGCAAGGCTGATTCACAAGTCATTGGTAAGTTCCGTAATAACCGGCTGCAGTATCTCATACATGAAGCAACTTCAAATTTGTCGGCAGCCATTAAAACATCCAGCAAATCTGAAGGTGTGGTTCTTGGTAGAGAATTACTGTACATAAAGTTCAGTAGATCCATGAGGGCAGCTTCTTCTGCACACAATAGTGGAGACACAAGCCATGGTGAGTTCAATTAATCCATTTGAACAGGTATCTAAAAACAGATTAATGACAAGAAACTGACAAAAACTATCTTTTCATTTCAAGATATAAGAAAGATTTTAACAGAGCAATTGAGGCTTGCCTCATGTACACAGACCCTATACAAAGATCAGATTCTACAAGTGTTTCATAGCTTATAACAGACAACCAAAAGAAAACCTATTTCATCCAAAAAGATAATTTTCAGTTTCAACACCTCTACCAAAAGATCATATTAATAGGCAAGTATAATCTGCAATTAATCCTAATAACAATCTAATCATTTTTGAACAGCAAATAAGCAGCAAGTATATGTATCTACATTGAGTTATGCTACATGTACAAAGTTATGTTACAAAGTTGGTTGACAAAATAACATCCACACCAATCATTTTAAAAAAAAGATTTTTATATCATTTGAAATCAACTGTTTGGATTTTGCCAACACACTTTGTAACCCAACTTTTGTAACTCAATTTTGTACAAATAGCTTTATTGTATCTACATTTACCTGTGGCATGGATTTGTATGGTTACAAGTCGCTGATCTGACTCATTCATGCCATTGGAGAACAACTATAGAAGAGAAGAGAAAAAACATTGGAAAATACACCAGAGAAGTAGAAACAGAGAAGGACAACCATATTAAACATTACTTACCTTATAAAAGAAGGGACTCTTTGCTGCTAGAATTGGAGAACTAATGTGTATCGTCTTCACTTGAACAGGTGAACAGTCCATACTAGAGGACGTTTCATTGGGCCGAGTTACTTCATCGTCTGCACAAATATCCCATTAGTTTCTTTTAAGATGTAGAACAAGACCTTCTAAATGGATTATCATGGTTTCCAAAATTCAGGTCAGATTTAGTGAAATATGGAGGCCGAGGAGTCATAGACATCAACTAAACAGATGTGCGATACTTTAGAGAGGCATTTATAGATTCTTGAAAAATAATGGAAATTTTCAAAATTGATGATCAATCAAATTCTTTAAGAGGATTAGAGATAGAATATATTGGTGTTCATACCAACTTCATTTGTAGCTATTTCCAAAACTGCAGGTGTTTCTTCAATCGTTGCCACAATCTCCTCTTCTTGATTTCCATAACCATCTTCCATATCAGGCATATTACAATTTAAAATCTGCTCTTCTCGTTGCATGGTCACATCTGCAGCTCATTTCAATAAAGCAATGGATAAACTCAGCAACTTCATATTTTGTACAAAAGGAAAGAGTTGCAATCATCCATGCCACTTCGTAAGAATTGTTAAAAGATATGGGCGGCCTCTAAACAAAGAAGCAATTGGCATAATTGTGTATGCGTGAAGCAGGCATAAGAAATTCCCACTACCAGACAATCAGACATAGAAGACCTAAAATAAATCGATTAGGTTTACTATAAACCTGTATTTGGCCCCCTACCTCTGTTGTTATAACTTAGCAACTATACATAACCCGGTCACATGAGCTAAAGAAATCAGAATTCCTCTCAGTCCTTGGGAAATGGGACAAATTAAATCCATTTGGAACGAAGAGAAATGAAATCAATAGATTTTATGAAGAAAAATAAATCAAGACCTGTTATTAAGCGACATGGGATTGAGGAGAAAGAAAATAAAAAACGTAGCAACACTTGATAACATGATCCGTGCATCAATGATCCATTTTAAGCGATCCATTCCATATCCCCATGTTAATCTTAAACTCCATTTCCATAAGCTTGACAACTGTCAGTTCAACTTTGTATAAGACATCATCAAAATGTAGCATCTTAACCATGGATTGCTGTGAAAATGAAAAGGGGAACCTAGCAACATGTGGGAATAAGTACAAACAGGGAGTCATATGTAGAACGATACGGAACTAGTAGTGATAAAAACTTAAAAGGAAAGGGGAATCCAATATATGGAGCTAAATACATGCTTGCAATCCTTGTAAGAAAACCAGAGGGGCCTGGATGCTGGAATCAATACAAAAAGGAGTTATGAAGATGTTCGAAGACAACCAACTTTAGAAGTGATTCAGAAGCATAATGCTCCTCTTTCAGCCCAATAACTGTTAATTTTTAGTTGCCAGGCCACACAAAAAATTTCCTATCAACGTGAGACAATGGAAATTTCTAATTTTGGTACACAGCCACCTCCATTCCCATAGTGCTGGAAAACAACAAATTTGACATGCCATTTGCACATGTAACTTGCAGGCCAAGCCCTAATTCTAAATCTTGAATTCTTCATGAGAAACAATTAACATCAATTCACAAAAAAAAAAGGCATTAAGTTCCAAGGCTTACAAACAAAATCTCCTCAAAACAAAATCTTGTTCACACAACATTTCTTCCAAGAAGAACAAATACAATTATAATTAAATCAATGATTTCCAAAAAATCTTTTCTATGAAGAAATTCAGAAAACTCCCAATCCACAACCTTAAAACAAAAACCCCCAAAACCTATAGACACTAAAGACCCTCAACACCATTTCCAAAGATTCACAACCAAAATTGAACACCATAAAAATCTCCCTCGCTAAAAAAATTAAACGCAAAAATAATTAAACTATACATATAACAACGTAAATAAAATTTTGTACCATTAGCTGTATTAAGATGTTCATTCCGTCGGCGCTTGCGGTTTCGTGCCCAACCGGAGAGGCTGACATCCGGGTCGGGCTTTGAACCGGGCGAGTCAGGTAGCATCTCGATCCGGAGAATTCGATCCGAAAAGTTGACATCATTGAACGCGAATGCAAAGTCCAAGGCCGAGTCCGACGACCCACCGCCGGACGAGCAGACGGATTCCATTAATTTTATGTTAAACAGTTCAACTTTTTCCAATTCTTGTATATATCCCTATAACTTAAATGGCTCCCCTTTATTTTCAATTCTTGGTTGCATATGTGAATGTATGTGTATGTATACGGACATGCTAGATAGTCGAAGAAGAAAGCTGTTTTAGAGAGAGACGTGACGATAGATTTTTTTTTTATTATTATTATTTTCATAGAGAGAGGAATGAAAATTGGTTTTCATTTATTTTGGGAAAATTGCATTATTGGTGTCCAAACTATTGTTTATTATCAAATTGGTCTTTGACCTTTAAAAAAGAGAAAGTTGCTCACAAATGTTTAGAGTAAAAAGTTTCATTGGTCACTGAACTTAACACATTGTCACGACATAGTCACTGAACTTAACATTGCGGCTGAGAGGTCACTGAACTTACCTTCCCGCCACTCCATTTACTCAGCAACCCAGCCGTTTGAAGA